AAGGTTAGATAATTTAATATAATTTAAAAAAATTTAATATAATTTAATATTTATAAATTATTTTAGACAAATAAAAGATCAAGAGTTGGTAAGTAATATAAGAATATTAAAATTAGTCAAATTAATTTTTTTTTTGTTTAAAATTGCTAAATAATTTTAACTAATCTGAATTAGTGCAAATAGATTTAGATGAAGATACAGAAGGTGAAAATGAACCAGAAGAAAATAATTCTAAATCCATATCTTCCAGTTCTTCATCCTTGGGTGACAATGATGATTTAGAAAAAGATATAGATGATAATGAAGAAGATACAGATAATGATGAGTAAAAGTTTTTTTTTGTTTGCTTTTTTTTCTATATGAATAATACTGCTGTTTTTTTTTTATTTTTTATATATAAATAAAAAAATAATATAGTTTAAACTATAAAATTTATTGTATTTATTTATTTGAATAAATTGTTTTTAGTTATTAATTTCAGTATAATTCGAAATAATTTAAAAAAATATAATTAATCAAAAAAATTTGAATACAAATATATTTCAATTTATTATATTTTTGGATATTTAATAAATTTTGAATTAAAAAAATGATATCATATATTTAAAAGTTTTGATAAATTCGAACCAATTCGCATTTTTCAAATTTTTAATTTTACTATTTCATTTATTTTATAAAAGTTTTTAATACTGTCTAGTCAAGTAGCAAATTTTGCATTTTTTAAATAAATTCGAATTAGTTCGAATTACTTCAAAATATTTCATAATTAATTTCATAATATTTCGTAATATATTTTGTAAAATTTCGTAATTAAAAATTTAGAAATATTCTGCATCGATCGTAATTATTTTGTAATTTTTTAGGGCGTAATAACTTTTGTAAAATTATGTTTATATATTTTGCTGATGTAATAAAAATAAAAATTTTAAACCTAATTCTAATAGTAATAATTAATAAAATTGTAATAATAAATAAATAAATAAATAATAAATAATATCATTATAATTTAATAAAATAATAAAATAATAAGTAATAAATGCTAATTAATAAAATAAATAAAAATAAATAATAAATCATTTAAGTTTTAAGGTTTGGGTGGCAAAGTGTCAATAACAACTTGAGGTTCTCAATATTGTTATTCATGATATCAAGCAAGTCTGTCACTATTATAATATTTTTGTAAGACTTGTCCTTTATCATTAATAAGTTGATAAATGTTATTGCCAAGTTTAGAATAAATAGTAAAAGGTCTAATTCTTTTATCTTCAAATTTCACAGAATATGATACTTCTATGTCTTTTTGTTGGATCCAAACTTTGTCTCCAACTTCAAATTCTTCTGGCCTTAGTTGCTTGTCATGTCTTTCTTTCTGTTTCTTCTGAGAATTTTCTGTATTCTTCTTGGCTTGCTCTTGAGCTTCTGTTAACTTATCCATAAGATCAAAAGCTCGAGATAAAATACTATCTTCTAAGTTTATCTTTGTTTCTGTTTCAGTAGTAGGAAAATTAATTCTATTGGTAAAATAGCTTGTTTTCTATATACTAACTGGAATGGAGTATATCCTGTAGTGGCATGCTTTTAGTTCGATAAGCAAATAATACTGCATGCAAGTTGAGATCCCAGTCTTCACTTGTTTTTACTTTTGCTAGTGATTCACACAAAGTTCTATTTAATCTTTCTACCATACCATTAGTTTGAGGATGATATGGTGATGAAAACTTATGCTGAATAAAAAAGTTTTCACATAAGACTTTGATTACTTCACTTCTAAAATTTTTCACTTGGTCAGAAAAAATAGTTCTAGGGGTTCCATATCTACACACTATCTCTTCAAAGATAAATTTAGCAAGAGTTAGGACTTCTGCATCTGGTACAGCTCGGGCTTCTGGCCAATGTATTAGGTAATTTGTTACAACAATAATATATCGATTATTGTGAGTAATTATAGATAAAGGTTTTATTAGTTTAATTCTAATTCTTTCAAAAGTCTGTTCTATTTTAATAGAATGTAGTGGTTCTTTTTTCTTGGATTTGCCTCTTCTTTGGCATGTTTTACAGGTTTTCACATATTCTTTAATATCTCGATATATCTGGTCCCAATAATATCATTCTGCAATTTTATCGTACATAATATCTATTTCCAAATGTCTAGCAGTAGGATGACTATGCATCATATATAAAATAGAGTCTACTTCAGTCCATTTAACAACTCTAAATAGTTTATCTAAGTCTCATTTGTTTTTCTTGTATAAATGTCCATTTTTAATCATAAAATATTTAGCCTGATTTTGAAGTTGTTTCTATTGATAAGTAGTAAAGTCACAAGATAGGGTATCAGAATTTAAATAGTTGAATAGATTTTGATATTGATCTAAATTTATTATTAAAATTCTGGTGGTCAGAGTCTTGAGAGGGTATCCATATTGGAGTAAATTCTACCCGGTTTGTGTATAATAGTGAAGTTATAGGGTTGTAATTTTAAAATCTATCGTCCAATTTATTCTTTTGGTTCTACAGTTTTAAGCCATTTTAGCACAAGGTGGTCAGTTACAAGAGTAAATTCAGTAGCTTCTAAATAGCTATAAAAATATTCAATCACCTATACAATAGCAGTTCTATTGCAAAGTAATTTTAGTTTGACTCTATTAGACTTTTGCTAGCATAAGCAATAGGATGTTCCTTTTCATCTCTATCCTTTTGGCTTAAAGTGGCTCCAAAGCTATAGTAAAAGGCATCAGTAGCAAGAATAAATCTTTTTCTAAAATCAGGGTAGGCTAAGATAGGTACAGTAGTTAATTTTTCTTTAAGAATATCAAATGCTTCTTGCTGTTTGTTTCCCTAATGATAGGGTTCATCTTTATGAAGAAGTTGGTTCAAGGATCAGGCTATGGCAGAGAAGTTTCGAATAAATTGCCAATAATATTCAACTAAACTAAGGAAAGATCATAACTTAGTAGTATTTTTTGGAGGTTGGATCTTCTGAACAGTTTCAATTTTTGAAGGGTCAGGGGCTATTCCTTTAGAGCTAATAATATGGCCAAGAAAAGGCAGAGACTTTATTCAGAAGTTGCATTTCTCAAGGTTAAGTTTTAATCTTACATCTCTTATTCGTTGAAATACAATCTTTAAATATTTCAAGTGGTCCTCAAATGTTCGAGAATATATATTAGTATTATCAATATATACAACTACAAATTTCTAAGCAATTCTTTTATAAACTTGATCCATAAGTTGTTAGAAAGTAGCAGGGGTATTATACAATCCAAATGGTATTACATTAAACTTATAGGTACCATATTTTGTAATAAAAGCAGTTTTCTATTTATCCTTTGAGTCTATCATGACTTGCTAGTATCCACTAGCTAAGTCTAAAGTTGAAAACCATTGTAATTCTGAGAGGCATTTAACATTTCCTGGATTCGAGATAGTGAGTAGGCATCTTTTTTAGTAATACTGTTAAGTTTTCTGTAGTTAACACAGAATCTTAACTTTCCATTTTTCTTCCATACAAGAACAACAGGTAATGCCCAAGGGCTTTCTGAGGGTCAGATAATATTGCTGTCTAATATTCATTTAATTTCTTGTTTAATAAACTTTTGTTCATCTGGAGGGATATTGTAAGATCGCAGTTTGATAGATGGTATATTTTCTGTGTAAATTTTATGTTTAACTTTATCTGTTCTGCCAAGTTCTGTAATATCTTTAGCAAACAGATCAGCAAATTCTTCTAACAAGATTTTAAATACTTGTTCTTGTTTTTTTGTAAGTGGTTCTATATTTACAGTATCTGTCTTTTCTAATGTATACTCCTTATAAAGAATTAAAGTGTCTATAGTATATACAAAATTATATTTAAGGGCATTAACTTGCAAGGCCTGTTGCAAAGCTTCTTCTTCTATTAGTAATTCTTCTAAATCTTCAGGTAGTTTTTCATCTTGCCTAGGATAGTTCAAAAATTTTGCTGTGTGAAGGCCATATAAGCATAGTAGTTAGCTCATTTTTGGTGATGTTAAATTTGTTAGAAAAATTCTATCATCTTTTCAAAATTTTCTTCCAAGTATTGGACTCTAGCTTCCAATCGGGCAATAACTTGGTCTTTTTCTTCATCCTTCCTCTTCTTGAAAATAGTATTTTCACTTATTTCAAGTTTTTCTACTATAATAGTATCATCATTATATATTTCTTCTATGAGCTGTTCTGTAGTAATAATATTATCTTGGTGTATCTCTTCTGTAATTGTTTCTTCAACAGGAGGGGTTTGTTTTTCTCTTGATAACATTCATCACAAAGACCTTGGTTAGCTTCTAATTCAGTACTTTGTTTAGCAAAGAGGTACTCTTTGCAAAGAGCTACTTTTCCTTCAAATTTTTCTTTAAATTCTCAATTGCTTTGCGAATATCAAAGTCAGGTTGAGAGGTATTAAAATATTCATTTAGAATTTGTTGTAAAGTGGCCTCTTCTTCTTCTGTAAGCAATACTTGCTCTGCTCGAAATAAGATAGTAATTTCTTCAGGGTCTATTTTTGGTTATATCTATCATCTTCTTGCTCTTCTATAGCTTCTTCTATACTTCTATATTCTTCATCAAGTAAAACTTTAACTAGATGGTAAATTCTATCTTGATTTAAATTATACTAATATTTAGCATTCCTGGTAAACTTAGTATAGTGTCTGATTTTGTTTCAAATCTCATAGTTTGGATTATATTGAAGATCTGTAAAGATTTATAAACATACATGTGTTTTAATTCACAGAACCACAATTCTTCTTGTATGCTTTCTATATTATATATTTTTGATCTGGGTTTCTAAATATTACAAAGTTTGCATCAGACAAGGGTTCCTCTACCAAGTCCTGTTTCATAATATTCCTGACTTCTGGGTCTTTAGGGTCAAGAGCTTCATAGTAAGTTTTATAACAAGCAGTACAAGCAAGTTTTTCTTCTAATTTGTATAGTTTGTCAGATTGCTAAAGTATACAACAAATAATAGATTCTTCTTCTACTATGGTAGGTTATTCTTTTTTCTTCTACTTGGTTTTTGTTACAACCATATTTGTAAGTTAAATTGTCA